CAGCCCCAGAGCTGAACGTGCTTTGCTGGTTTGGATGCCAGTGAACAGTCGTCAATGCGCCGTCCGGTTATCCAGTTCAATCAAGCCCAATGCCTATCGACATAAAAGCGGTGTCTGTATGTCGTATCCGCTTATGCCCCAACGGACTGCGGTTCTGATGCGGAGAAGGATACTTTCAATCGAGAGCTATCCGGGCTCATTCGCCGGGCGAAAGACACTGACATTGTGATCCTTGCAGGGGATTTGAATGCTCCTTGGAATCACATTTGGGTGGTCGATTCGGAGTCGATTCGGTCGTCGGAGCCACACAGACAACGAAGATCGGCTCCTCCAGTTGTGTGCTGATCATGAGCTGTTTCTGGCAAGTACGAACTTCCAGCATAAACGCTCACACCTCGTAACCTGGCGGCCGCCAACCACAAATCAACCGTGGGTTTGGTTGGACCACGTGGCCATCAGCTACCGTTGGAGAGCCACAATTCAAGACTGCCGTTCTTTCTGGGGCACACCACTTGATTCCGATCACGCCATGGTGCGCGCACGCCTGACAGCCCGTTTCCATTTCAGGCCCTTGCAAGTCGGCAAGAAGCATGCCAATCCACTAGCTTCGAAGAACCGCCATAGCTCAGCAGTATCGAGCTGAACTAGCCCAACAACTCCACAGTGAAACAGTACTGTGGTAGCAGTGAGCATGTGGATGAAGCCTGGCAAAATGTGAATAGAGCTATATTAGTGGTGTTCAGCGCTGCCTGCCCGAATTCTCCAATTCGACCACAAGACCACTGAATGTCGTTGAGGTCGCTATCCGTGATTGCAGACAACGAGTTTGACGGCGCACGCAAATCCCTTAAACGCCAAATAGTGGATAGTCTAAGGCAAGACCGAGAGCTCTGATGGAAATCGAAAGTTCGGGAGATGGAGATGGCTTTTGCTATTGGAAACAGCCGTGCCCTATATCAACTGATGCAGTCGACTGACCCTAGGGAAGCAACGGTCAGTGGAACGATAGGTGAAAAAGATGGCTCATTAATTCACTCACAAAAGCGTCGGCTGGAAAATGGGCCGAACACTTCGCAGAGCAGTTCAGCTGGCCTCCTGCAACATAGCCGGTGGAGATAATGCATACGGGCGAATGGAATGTAAACCTTGATCGCCCTTCGGAAGAAGAAATAACGTACGGAATATCCATACTGAAACGTGAGAAAGCACCAGGACCGGACGTTCTATATCCAGCCCTCTTCAAAGAAGGCGGAAAATCCCTGGTGACCAACCTGACAAAGCTCATTGGTGCTATACGGGACGAAGAGAAAGTGCCTGCAGAATGGGGCATGTCGACAGTTATCCCTATCTTCAAAAAGGGTACGCAGACGCTATGTGAAAACCACCGTGGCATCGAAGGTGCTTTCTGGCCTTATCCTTCGAAAGTTGACTGAACATAGAGATAGGCAGATCCGTGAAAACCAAGCTGGGTTCCGTCCTGCAAGAGGTTGCATCGATCATACCTTCACCCTCCGACAGATTCTAGAACAGCGACACTGCTTCCAGCAACAAACAGTGGTTGTGTTTCCTGATCTTAAAGCTGTCTTTGATTCTGTTTACCGCCAAGCACTATGGCAGTGTCTGTGGAGCAAAGATGCCCCCATAAATTCTTGACCCTCATTAGGGTGCTGTACGCTAACTCCCGCGGCCGTGTAAAGGTCTACGGGAAGCTCTCTCCTGTGTTCACCACGTCAAGTGGTGTCCGACAGGGCTGTCCTCTTTCACCTTTTCTCTTCAACTTCGTCACTGATACTATCATGGAAGACTCACTACCAGCCTCTAATGCCTGTGGAGTCGAGGTGCTTCCTGGGCCTCCGCTCACAGACGACACAGCTCTTCTTGGATCTAACCCCGTGGTAATGCAAACAATATTAAACAATCTAAATTATTCTGCTTCGCGGTTCGGCATACGCTTCACACCTGCAAAGTGTAAAGTGCTACTGCAAGATCGGGTGGGCTCGAACCCTAGCCTCATGCTTGCGGATGAACCGATTGAGGCAGTAGACAAATTTGTTTACCTGGGCAGCTGTATCAGTCCCGGTTGTCTCGCGAAAGATGAAATTTCCATCCGGATTGGGAAGGCCAGAGCAGATTTCGTGAACCTACGTTACCTGTGGCGTAGGCGTGACATAAGCTTCTCTGTCAAGGGTCGAGTTTACAATGCTGCGGTGCGCTCCATATTACTATATGGATCAGAAACCTGACCGCTGCATGCTGAAGTCGTCAAAAGACTTTCAGTATTTGACCATGGGTGTCTGCGGAGCATTGCCCGAATCTGGTGGGTGGGCCGGATCAGCAATGCTGAAGTACGTCGAATGGTATTCGGGAGAAATAACTCACCCTCGATAGATGAACTAATCACGCTGCATAGGTTGCGCTGGCTTGGCCACGTGTTACGTATGCCAGTCGACCGAATTCCTCGAAGGGCTCTTTTCGCACAACCACGTGAAGGGTGGAAGAGAGCCAGAGGCGGTCAAACATTGATTTGGCATTACCAGCAAACTCAGCTGCACTGGTCACCCTGAATGGGGACCCCGAGACGGTCCACATAAATGGCTAGAGACATTGTCAGACATGGTCCAGTCGCGCCCTCAATTGCGCTCATGCATCCAAGCTATTGACTTTAATGCATAGCTCCCTTCCCAAGCTCCCCACTTGACAGCCCACTTACAATGCTGGATTCATGCACTGGTTTGTCAGCTCCCGCCTCCAATGTGTAGCTAGCTACCCTCCCCCAAATCATCGACGAACGAAACTGCGGCAGCTACAACCACTGTACGACGAGTACGCGGTTATTACAGCTGACATTAATAATAATAATAATAATAATAATAATAATAATAATAATAATGAACCCCGCGGAGACAACTGTCAGTCCATTGGAGATGCTTTCGCTTGATGTTTCAACACTACCCACCCCGACAGGCCCAGTTACAGCGGTCTCCGCGTCACCGCTGGAAGCCAGAAGAGAGCGAGTGGGAGTTAATCCAACTACAGTACCTGTGTCCTGTATCCTTGTTTCTAACAGACGGTATGCATCCGTTAAGAGGGTATTCAGCATAGTAGCAAGAGCTGCTGTTTGTTCTGCTTGCTTCAGTTTGTGATTGTCAAAAGTAGCTAAGTAGATCGGCTTTCAGGGTTTGAAAACTGGCCTAGAGTAACATAGCGGACAAGGTGGTCAGTCCTAGTGCCAGTTACCGCGCGGAGAGTATTCACGTTTGTTTGGGAGTACGGTAGAAGAGCAAACACATGAATGGGTTAGAAGGGAGGCATCAATGGTAGCATGTTTCCGCTTATCCATCCTGCTGTATGCAGCAAGCAGGGTCGCCTCTGATGACACCATGCGATGATCTTTGTGGCATGATCACACTTTTAGTTGTAACGTTCCCGTTGTATGCGTGCTGGGATACTGTCAGGGAGGCTACACCTAGACAGGAGGACAATTACGGTTTTTAAGCAAAGCTGAAAAGCTTGACCGCAAGGCAGCCAGTGGGTGTTAGCATACTACCACATTACAAGGTTCTAAGCGGCAATTCGTTGTGTCCGTTCCAACCGCCAACATGAAGGATCAAGAGGCTGTTCGCCGGACCTCTAGCCATTGACCAAGGTGGGATGAGGAACTCTGTGAGTGTTAACTGGACCCACCCCCCTTGCTATATAACCCGGTGGGTCATAGTGGCAGACAACCGGCTACACTGCCACAGGGTGCAATCTTTTTGCAGCAGACTACCTAAAACAAGACGGTTCAGTTGTGGGCAAAGCTGTCTACTGATTGTGGAAGGTCTGGTTTGAACCCGACTTCCCCTGTCTAGGCTTGGGCAACCTGGTAGTTTCCCAGCCCCGTGCTTCCAGGTGTCATGGCAGCTAGGCACCGAAAGGGTGCTACAGCTGAACGCTTTATTTTTACGTCAGACCGCTCCTGGAGTACGCCAACCAACTTGTCTGCTCAGAACGCACGAAAGGCGTCACCTTCATTGAGTGTGTCCAGCGAGCCGCTACGAGAATGGTTGTGGGCCTCAAATCCGTGGACTACGAAATGCGTCTCACGATGCTTGATCTCTTCCCCCTGGAATACCGTCGCCTCCAAGGAGACCTAATTCCTATTTATCTCACTGCAAACAATTTCTACTCAGAGGCCTGTTTTTGTTTGACCATTGCCTTTGCCGATACCCCATTAGAAACCATGTCTCTTTTAATCGGTTAAACATTCCATGTATATTTGAAGAATGTGTTCCAGAGCGGTTTCATGGATGCAAATGCTGACTAATTTTTTCCAAACTAATCTCGGTGCGTCAATTACTTGCAGCCCTTTTTCTGTTTGATGTGTTCAGAATGTTTCTTTTTTTTCTACATACTAATTTCCGTCTCTGTTCATACCACGTCAACGTGGCGTTAACAATTGATTCTTTGTTTTCGCCTTGTAGATATGCATATCAATTAATGAAATCGTTTGTTGAACGGTTGTCATGCTGACCGGTACTTGTTACGGCTTGGCTCGCTTTACTCCGCGCGGAGTGTTTTTGCTTTGTAGTTATGTCAACAGAACTTTCCACTTGCCTGTTGTTTGCTGTCCTACAAGACATGCCTCCTCAGATATGGGGAGACGTTTGTCCCGAGTTCCTGGTTGGATGGACCCGTATGTCAAACTAGCGCGTTATGACAGACCGATTGGAACCTGGCTGCTCTATTTACCTTGTACATGGAGTATCGCTCTTGCTTCCCCCGCTGGTCAGCTGCCCGATTTATATATGCTGACCTTGTTCGGCATTGGTGCGATTCTGATGCGTGGAGCCGGTTGTACGATAAATGATCTACTTGACCGGCGCTTTGATCAGCAGGTTGAACGTACAAAGTTAAGACCACTGGCCAATGGAACGATTTCACTCAAGAATGCTTTTTTATTCCTCGGTTTTCAATTGTCCGCCTCCCTGTTAATATTACTCCAGCTAAACTGGTACAGGTAAGCCGGGATAATGCGGTTGTTGACTCTGTCTCGTGGTTTCCAGCATTTGCCTCGGCCTTTTGTCAATATTGCCCGTCACAGTCTATCCTCTCTGCAAACGAGTCACCTATTGGCCACAAATTGTACTGGGTAAGGTTTGACCTCACCTAAACTCTACTAACACTAACCTCGTCGAAATTTTCTCTGTTGCAGGACTAACGTTGAATTGGGGTGCTTGGCTTGGTTACTCAGCTGTTGTTGGTTATTGTTCTATCCCAGTTTGCCTTCCACTATACATAGGGGGGACAATTTGGACAACTATCTACGATACTGTCTATTCGCATCAAGTGAGGGCCAGTCTTATGTTGCATGTTTGAGTTGTACCGCCGGTGTTTCCGTCGCTCGCAGTTGCTATATGTAGTCTTGCCTTTTCACACATGCGAGTTAATGGCAGTTTTATCTCTAGACACCATCGATGTCCCTTCAAACTTTCCTTTCACAGTGGTCATCTTTATTTACTAGGTTTTAACATTTACTTTGTCCAGGTATTACTTTCAACTGGGGTGCCCTACTTGGGTATTCGGCTGTGCTTGGTTTCGTTGACCCCTTAATTTGCGTACCTTTGTACGTTGCGGGCATCAGCTGGACCCTGATCTACGATACTATTTATGCCTTCCAGGTTTGTTTGCGCTCAATGTCTTTTGTTTCCCTCACTTTATGGTTATTGGTGACAACGTGATTGCTGTGGCTAACATCTCTCCTCTGTCCTAGGATATCGAAGATGATTTGAATGTTGGCGTAAAATCTCTTGCCATTCGACTCGGTCACAATGCCAAGCCTTATTTCGTTCTTTTCCAAATGGGTATGCTTGGCTGTCTTCTGGCCGTTGGAGTGAATAGCGATGCTGGGTTGGTCTACTATTTTGGAACTCTATTGACTATGGCGCATTTGGCTGGCCTGGTAAGTGAACAGTTTCCTTGGTTTTGTCAGCTCCGACGGTGGTGAGTGCTTTTAGTATTTCTACTGGGTCATTCATTCAGCCAAGTTCGATAAAGGTTGATAACAAGAACGCTATTGACATCGATTAGCAGCCATATCTTGCGGCATTTCCAATCAGGAACAGTTGGGACCACGCGGTTCCCATCCTGGAAAGCGAGTGGTACCGATAACACTCGATTGTTTTATAGTCTACTTCATACCTCACCACCAAGTCAAGGGTTGGCCACGCCTCTGCTTTCACCACTCTAAATTGGGCACAAAAACCACTGTCTTCGGCAAACAAAGTTTTGGTATACTCAGTATATAGCCTAACCAACGCAGCTTTTGGTGCTGGATATTCTCCAATGAATATCCTCATTGCACAACCGAAGACTCGCTTTCTAACTGCCTCGTTGCGGATTCGCCGACACCACCCACTGGAGCTATGGCTCTGTGACAGCGGCGGTCGAAGGCCTGAAAACGCCTCCATTTCGCTGATTAAATGGGCCAAGTCTCAGCCGTACAACAAAACAGCTCGTACTATAGCCTTATATACACGTCCCTTGTGATTCAGTGATACACTGCTTTAACGCCATAGATGCCTGAAATTAGCGAACGCGACCCGAATCTTACAGACTCGTACATTGACGACATCTGTCACACTACAGTCGGATGTAATACAACTTTCAAGATACGTAAACACCCCTATAATTTCGAGTCTCTCCCTGGATTGTAGGTGGCGTGTTCAGTGACTGCATATCCACGGGCATGACCTTACTCTTTGCAGGTGCCAGGCGCGTGTCAAAGGATGGGTTGACTGATCAATTAATCCAAGAACATCGCCTTCTTTTCTTCGAGGACGAAAGCAATATCCTTTGCACATTCCAAATCGACAAGTTTTTCGTCAGCTGCTATTTGAACATGAGAGTTTTGAAATCTTTTCACCGTTCGTCTCATTTTCTCATTGATTACGAAATCAAATTAAAATGGGAATGGAGAGACTGGGCGTAGCTGATAGATACTGCTTTGTATACTTAAGCTTTTGGAGAGCTTTCCGTATGTTCTCACATCCCCGGAATTCTGAGAATACAGCGAAATTATGGTGTTCACGGTTGATGATGACGATTTGTACACCTCAGCCTTTTGAGCTGTCAAGGGGTAGGACTTGGCTAACGCCCTCTCTTGGCCGTTCAGTTTGGGGGTCGGAAGATGCGTGGTGACTTCTGTAAAAACGGTACCGCACTTGCATTTCTTGCCAAACACCACAACCTTGTGGTCAGGCTTTTGAGCCAAAGGCTTTATTTGGGGACCCTAGTTGTCCTATCGAAGTCCGGGCGCCCTTGTGTATACCAGCCCACATGCAATAATGAGTCGCACAATTTGAGATGATCTCATGGAAAATCAGCCGGGTTGCCATGTCTGCAGCATACATCTGAGCGGGTAAGCGAAAACAGACTACCACTGACGCTCTCTCCTCTATCTTCCACATTTGCTCTTCCCCTTCTCGCCCCGTTTCTCGCGGCATTTCCGTTGACCGAATAATAAGAACCGACAGATCCAGTGGTCGCTTATTGCCCCTGGCTGCAATTTTTATGATTTACTCGTCCGCCACAATCATACACTACGCAATGATCCTTCAGACCCCGACGCTCAGTCTGCATGACAGCCCTTAATGTACGCGCTCTGAAACAAGCTGGACATGTACTGGACTCGTTTTATGTCGACATATGCTCTGTCTGGAACGCGAATCAGCAGCTTCCGGTTGCTTCCATTTACGCAGCATTGGCGATCCCCAAAGTGACTGGTACTGGTTCTGCCGGGGTTGATATTATTCTAAGCAACCGAATAGATGGGTGTGGTTGAATAGTTAGTCATTGATGGTCACACCTGAGCGGTTCGTTTGGCAAGGTCTGCGACAGTATCCCGAAAGCCGATAATCACTGCATTTTCATTGCAGTCTGCTTATGCCCCGACAGACTAGCTCTCATACACAGAAAGACGGCTTTTAAAATGCTTTGAACACAGTGTTGTAGTGCGCTTAGAGCTCAAATATGAATGAATTTGCAAGTAGGTAGACTTCGTGCTACTAGTGATAGTGTAGGACTGGGACCGAGACACGGCCAACGGCTAACGACTGAATC